TTAAACAAAGGTGCGCCGTCGCGAAAAGGTTAAAAGTAATATTGAACTTGGAGAAAAAATTTAAAACAACAGTACAATTGCAAGACTAAAAATAAATTACTATTGCGTCAGAAAGAGTGCAAATGGCAATATAAATTATAGCATGGGAAACAAGTCTCAAATTTCTGTGCTTTATAGTCTGTTCTGCATATGTTATATTTGAAAATTTATTATGATTTTCGATGAGCTTGATTGATGCTCTTGTACTGATTGATTAATACTTGTATATACCTAGTTTCTCGGTCTTTTTATTATTCGTGTATATATTTTTCTTTTATTACGATTTTATTTGCATTGAATTTCCGCTCTACGCAGAGATGCAGATAAGCCAAGAAAGAATACATTCTCTGAGCATAAATACGAAAGCAACCCATGCGGCACAAAGCCAACCACTCTTTTGCATTAGTATCCTCTCCGGCACATCCTACTTTGATCCCACGGCTTGATGCATGCCTTTAGTGTTTATTTACTACCCTGGGAGCTCGAAGTAAACGATTAATATATCACATGGCAGCGCTGAGCAGTCATGGTATGGAGAGTAACAGCGCGAAAGATGCTCCTTTTGGTAGACTATAAGCAAAACCACGAGCCCTAATATAAATAAATCAAAACTCATACATTGCCGAGTACTAGACTGCCATCAGCAGGAGCGGCATCATCACACTATAACCTTTTGCTTCGATTACCGTAATTTCCTTAATAGCACTGCACCGAGAGATAACGTGAAGAGTAGGGGCACTTCACATTGTGATACGGGGATAGAGAAGGAGGGGGTGGAGGGAGTCGAGGCAACAAATGCCTATCCACCTCCTCCTACTCACCCTAGATCTTCCACTCCTAGTGATAGATGGGCAGCTGAGTACATGATAGTGATCAGATGTTCTGTTTCTGTGTGAAAAGACACAGAGGAGGCGTGTAGAGAGAGTGGGATAGTTTTCCCTAAATGAGAAGGGAATTTTGGAAAGAGAAAATCCCCAGCGTAATAGATGGGTAATCGATTCATAGGTATCGATTGATCCGAGCTCTTTGATCGGGTTGTGAGAAGGTATTTTTAATGCAAAATTTCAGATGCGTATGCGAACAGACGATTAAAATTAAATGAACGAATTTGTGCCAGTGTTTGTACATTGTTTTGTTTAGCTGCGTCCGCTTTTCTGAAATAATGCTAAAACATTAAATAACATCATCCATCTTTCCCAAATCAAGGACAAAAATCTGTAATACTTAACATTTTATGTAATTTTGACTGAGCGTTTTTATTTAGTTTATATTACATGTAGTCCACGTTTAGATTTTTATTAAAGTTGTTTTTACATTTAACATACATCCACCAAACTTAATTTTAATTATTATAAACAGCACTAAAAACTGAAAATAAATTTCGGACGACTTTCAAAATTTAAGCCTGAAGGAGATTAAAAAAATCCTTTATCAGTCAGTGAAACACGATTTTATTTTCACAATACAAATTTATAAATCCACATGATCAGCTTTTTGTCATATTATTGATTAACTGACCTTTATTAATAAATACAGTGTATTTTTTCTGGCAAAGGGAAGTGACGTTACATCAATCCATGTGTTCAAATTGCGAAAGTTTGTGGCTAAGCTAATCTGAATGGTCAGGGAAAGGTACAACATGACATGGCGCAAAACTTCTACGTAATTTATAAGTATTATAATAGGATAATTTCAGATATCGAAGGCAGCTTAAGAAATTGTTAATGCAAGATAAAACTGATCATAATTATGAGTTGCAGTATTTCAGTTCTTCGCACTTTGCTCGTGCTTTAAAGAGAGAAAGACTTAAACATATACTTTAATATTGCATCGTTTTAACTGATTCATCTAGCGGCTAAATTTCTTCCTGCAATACTACCGAAAAAACGTCCAATTATTTGGTACGCCTTTGGAATTATATATAAATGGTCTTCAGTGAATAACTGTATGCCTTTCTTTAAGAATTTGTTTTTTAGTTGATATCGTTCACGATTCATTTAACAGATGGCGCCAGTGATATCGTTTTCTATTATTCAGCTGGAATATTATAGACTTTCTTTCGATTGTTCATATGGAGGTATATTTTTTTTGTCACGAATTTTAACTAGTTTGAATACGAAATACTATAAGAGAACAAAGAATCACGTCCTTATGCCGCACGCCCTCAAAGTGCTTTATATTTCCCAACGTAATTTCTACACAAATCGTATACATGGTATACAGTTATTTTTCTCTCTTTTGAATTTCTTGTTTTTTATTTATTTATTTTGTATTCATTTTTATCAGTATCACGATTCTCAATTCATTAGAACTCAGATTTGATCTTTCGAACCTAGTAGGAGAAGCCTTTCTGCACTTATTAAATTTTACCTTTTGGGAATGTTACTTGACATACTTTAACGTGGAATGCCTTTAAAGCAACATTTTAGAACAACAACTCGCCATACCGCGGCATAAAGTTGCCGATATTGATATTTCGTCATTTCTACTTTCACCGTTGCAGACCAGTTTCCATGGAATTTTTAAAAATATAATTCTGCAAAGGTTGCCCATGTTACGCCAATTCATATTACTTAACATTAATAACATAACTAATATTAAAATTTAAGTCTTTGGTATGTATCTTTTCGATACGTTTGTGATAATTGTGTTGTAGAGACGTTATGTTATTTCGAAGCAGGAGACATGAAAAAATGAGCAAAGCCCATGCCGAGACTAGGACCTCTCGAATACGCGCCGAGTGTGCTAGCCATTACACCACGAAGGCAGGCTAGGAAAGCGGGAGAAATAACTTATATACTCCCCCTTTTAAAGGGCGACTGGGAATTAGGGTACTCAATCGTCAAATCCTGGTGATGGAGAATCATCATCTCCCACCCTTTTAGTTCGGGAGCCACTGTAGAAACATTAGGTATTTCGAAGCAGGAGAGATGAAAAATGAGCAATGCCCTCGCCGGGACTCAACCGCGGACCTCTCGAATAAACGCCGAGCGTGGTGACCATTACACCACTAAGGTATGCTATGAAGGCTGGAGAAATACCTTGTAGTATGTCCAATTTTAAATATGACGTAGTAGAATTGTTAGCAGAGTGTTTCAGAGTTCCATGGACAAATATGCCTCAGAAAAAAAAGAACGGCTTATAACAGAGACTGTTCACTCTTAGATCACTGGTCACCACCTAGCTGATCTGACTTTTGAAGCTTAGTCTCGCAGTTCATTGACGTCTTTCGGTTTAATTTTATTTTAATAATCTATCAAAATTCTCCGCTTTGACGTAATGACCTTGGAATGTGTTACAGTGAACTCTTAGTTAACTGAGTACTTTTTTATTTTATAAATTAAAGATTAAATTTTAAGTATATATTATTAATTATACGTTCAAATGATAATTTTATGAATACTTAAAGTATTATTTTAAGTAATAAAAGAAGTTTCTAATGCAACATACTACGTACTTGATACAGCAGTCATTTTAATTGCTTGGAAATAATAAGAGCAAGGTGCAAAAGCCACGAAGTAGAATTTTACATAGCTTGCATACATTTATAATCCAGCAGCATAAGTCTGGGAAGTCTTGACTCAGTTTATTAAAGATTTCATTTTCAATTTTTTGGTAAAACTCACTGAATATCTGACTGAAATATAATAAACGAAACCAGTCATCATGGCGAGAAAGATTTGCATTGAAGAGCGAAGAGAGGGTCTAGCTGTACAAATAGAAATGTTGTAGCTCTATTTCTAAAAAGAGTTCAGAGCAAAGAGGCGCACAGAAGATATGAGTAAATCAATCACTCCAGTTTTTCTATTCCATCGAGAAGCATGCAAGAAAAATTAGTACATTCAAGATGATGTCACAGAACTAAATTTCAATCTCTGCACGATAGAATAATCATAATTTTGAAGAAACTAGCGGGCAAGCCCACCAGATGAGTGGACTATGGCCAAAGCAATATACGGGGAAACTGAAAATAATATGAATTATCAATTTAATGTACTGTATACAAAGTTGCAAGCTGCGACCAAAGCACAATTTATGAGTTCTATGTGCAACCGAAAAGAACGTCCACAAAAATATTTCAATGTGAATGAAGTCAGTTCATTCTGTCCAAGCAACAACCAGTTCGTAAATATACTTTTTTTTGGACAAACCAGGAAACAAAATCTTTGGACACTTCAGGTTAATACGTATACGTCTAACGTCATCGTTTAAATTTAATGTAATATAACAATTTTTTCTCACTATCAATAAAAGAATTAACGTGGCATTAATATACCGCGTCAATTATTTCAATAGGAAATAAAAAATTGCAACAGCAGCTGTTTCTTTGCTGAGATTAACGAAATATTTTCAACATGCAATGACGTCACATGCAATCGTATGCTTTCTTCAAAGTAATAATGCATTTAATGTTTGGCAATGCTATTTGTATTTCATATTTTGTAAAACTTACTGCAAGTTCTTTTGTTCGATTCGTTATCACCATAGAACTAGGGAGGGTGACTTAAAAACGAAACACACGGGGGGGGCGAGGGGGGAAGACGAGAGGCCCCGAAGCAGTTTATTCTTTCTTTTTTACATTTTTTCTTTTTCCCTTCTCGTTATACCGGCGTTAGGCTGTGCAGCCTTGAAAAGGAAAGCCTACATGTAAACAAGAATACCAGGAGCCAACTTCTATTTAAGCCTAAATAAACTTTTTTTTATAAAAATTATATTTAGTTGATACATTATTTTAACATAAAAGCATTTTGCGCGATATATTAAAAAAATCTCTGAAATCGCAAAAAAGTAGCATAAGAAAATGATGGTTGTCGCAAAAATTTCTCAAAATCACAAATATTAAAATTTTAGTAGCACAAGTTTATCAAAAGTCGCAAATTTGCGAAAAATCGCACGATCTGGCAAAACTGCGTCACAGGATGCTCTCTGATTAGAAAGAAGTCAGCCAATAGTTTCTCAGAGTGAGAATTCTTACAACGTGTCGAGAATTTCTCTTGTTCCCACTTGGGTATTTTTTATACTATTTCTCAAAAGGGGAACTTTCTGCTCTAAGTCTAACTGCAATTTGATTTTCCGTCCTGTTTATACCGAAATGATGCTGCTTGCAAATTTAATTCCATTCTTTTTCATCGGCCTTGCGGTAAGTAAATCAGATGTATATATTAACATTTTATAACTATGTATTTATCTCCGTATTTATTTTAAGCTTCTTTATTAAAAATACTAAAATATTTAAATTAAAAATATAATTACAGTAAATGACTTTTTATATGATTTAAATATTTTTGTATTTTATTTTACCTTTACTAAGAGCAAATTTAAAATTTTAAAATAGCACCATACAGCTTGGTGTGTCAAATTTCTTGTTAACTTATCTATAGCTATATCTGTTTTAATAACGAATGATTTAAATTTTCTCTGTATCTAAATTTCACTAAAATATTTTGCGAAAAAAAAGCTAAAATTCAATTTAAAAAATAAAATAAAAAGATGTAACAGAGAACATATCCAAAAGTATGAAAATGATATCTTGGGATGAATTTAGGTACTCAAACTTTTTAGACAGTAATATTCTACTTTTAATTTGCTGTTTATGTTAATCTAATTCTCAGAAACCATTTCGTTACAATGCATGTAAGTTTAAACACATTTACGTTTTAGATTTTAGATATGTCTACAAATTATTTGAAGTTTTATGTTTGAATAAACTGAATCAAATAGTAATTTTGGTTTAGTAGCAATCATGTTTTCATCAAAAGTTTGCAAACATATTTTAAGATGCAAAATAATTGCATATCCTACACTATTTTTATCTTAAAATATTCTCTAAACAAATTCTCTAAACAAATTTTACTAAAGCAAATTTTTCGCAAATTTGCTAAAGCAAATTTTACTCTAGCATATATAAAGAAATAGAAATAATATAACATTTATAAATGAAATGGAAACAAAATATGCGTATAAAAGCTGTATAATTTAGAAGGAAAATTAACACTCGGAACCAGGAGATTTTCCATTTATTCGATGAGACCAAAGCATTTTCAAAAGCTAAATAATCGATATGGAAAAAAGCTTGCATACGCATTTTGGTAGCCGGTGGTACACATAATGCTCAACAGATCACTTTCAAATATATGTCAAAGTTAAGTAGCACGTACTTCATAAGCAAATGTAGAGTAAAATAAACATAAGCTTACGGTTATGTTTCCAGACCACTCCAAAATAGAACAAGGACTGAATCACTCGTATGATATATGGATTGAGCTTACAAATGAAAAAGACTAAGCACACAGAATTGTCAAAAATTTGGGAATTTCATTTATATCGTACACTTACGAAACATGCTTAAAACTGAAATTGTCGAGTTTTTTAATGATCGAATATTTGTGATGTATATTCAACAGCTGATTAAACTAGGAAATCAATATTTATACTGCAATGAAATTATATGAAAAAGAAGATATATGTTCATTCCTTCTTCATGGGCAAGGATGGTAACTCAGTAATGCGTTTTTAATTTAGGAGGAACAGCGGGAAAGTGAAATCTTATTTTCTTCTTTCTCGCTAATTGTCTATAATTCATTTTTTCAGTTGGCGGATGATCTGAGATCGTGCATCAGCGATGACAATTGCCGAGAAGGGGAATGCTGCGTTTTCATGGCTTTTATCCGAGGATTTTGCCACACGCTGGGTAAAGAAGGTGAATAATATTCGTATATCTCTTCTTTACTTATCAGGAATTCAAGTAGCCTACATGATTTCGAAAAATAAATATCGAATAAATAATTACGGGAAACCTAAAAATGATTTTGACGATTTATTGTTAAATTATGGGTAGCGATCTTAATATTGATTAATTATTTATTAAAAGTTACTTGTCTGGATATATAGTTGAATGAAAGATTTAGCTACTTAACTATCTTCAAATTTACTTAACAATCAAAGCTTATGATTATATAAAAGATGCACACAAACATTAATGTTATTATTGTCAGTTCCATAGGATGTCTCAGTTGAGAACTGTATAGAGAATTATCGATGAAAGAACTATAAGAGATGACCGATGGCCTGTCAACAAGAAACTGTAATCACTTACGATTCTCTTTCAGCATTCTATAGTTGGTTGACATAAACAACGAGATGTAATAGACTATGAGTAAGTGACTATAGAGACCAGTTGGTATACTTGTACTATCATCAAAGAAAAATTCATTTATGTAGCTGTTATTAAGGTCTATGACCTAGATAGGCCTTAAACATCAACGATGACACGGTGATAACATGATTTGCTTTGACTACTTTTACTTTAAAAAATAATAAAGATTGAATTTTGCTTGGTCATAAAATTAAAAGCTACGTTCTCTCTAACTCAAAAATTATTTCTTTGACATGAAATAAAATAAAATAAAAAAACTTATACTTCCATAAAAGCAAAGCTATTTTCTTTTTTATATTCGTTTCGTAAATCTTAAGTAATTATAATTTCATAGCTAACACGTCTAAGTTAAAATTAGAAATATTACTATAGTCCCTTTTATAATTATGAATATAAATCAACGTAAAATATTTATTTTTAAATACCATCCGGAAGAAAAGGAATTCTGCAACGAAGAGAAAATAATAAGAGAAATGATATATTCTAACCATGGAATAAAAAAATCTGATAAAAAATCAATTTTACATATTTAATTAAATATTTTCCTCCACAAAGCGATCATATAACAAAAACAAGCACATCTCCTTTAGGACATAACAGATCTTTTCAAATCTAGTTACTTAAAACATATACCATTGTTAAGTATAACAACAATGAAATAACAGGATATTTACATTAATATAAATTTTCATACATTTTAGATGTTTTCACCATCAAACTTTCATTATTCATTTCTAGATTTTACATTTTGACTAACGAATACGCTGTATCATCAAAATGGTTCGAAATATAAAATGTATAAACTTTAAAATCAGAAAATATTCTACCTTAAAGAACGTAATGAAAGAAGGATTTATAGGGTAGTTGTAAGTCATATTTACGATATATACCACTTTTCAGGTAGCTTTTCCTAAATTAATCTTGCGATTAAAAGAGGTAGTAGGCATACATTGTGTCTTAAAAATAAGGCAACCTTAAAGTTCAAGGAAAATGTCCATACCTCACTTCATAAATCTGCCCCTGGAATACATATATGGGGTCATCGTGTTCAGGAAAGGAAACATTAAAAAAAAAAATCATCTCGAAGCTGAATGTGGCTGCTATTGAAATTCAGTTCGCTTTTTCTTGGCCATTTAACAATACCGAAACAATCGAATTTCAGAATTATAGCCTATAAAACATCTTTCAGTTTGCTTTTCCTCCTCTGGTCATATATATTTTTACATTATTATTATTTCAGGAGGCTTATTTTTTGTTGAATAATTTCTATGTTAAAGACATAAGATAAATGCTAGAAAAATGAAACTCCAGTTTCGGGTACTTTTCATGCTGATTTGAAGATTATGGATTTTAAATTTGCACTGCGAAAACCATTTGAAACATTTCTTTGCCCGAGGAATTGCATTTATATGAAATATTCCGTAAAAGCCAAAAGCTAAGTGTCTTTATCAGTGTCCCGAATTTTTGTCTTCTAAATCCTTCCTTTTTCCCAAATGCTCTGGCTCTGATAATTTTATTATTCTCGATTTTTGTTAGCATCTGATAAAAAATTCATCAGTATCTAATTTAGTCAGTTTGAGTTTTTTAACTGTGCGTTTCTTTTTTCAGTTTAGTAATGAAAATTTCCCATTAATCACTCACGGGAAATACTTAAAATTTCAGTAACTTATCTTTTAAAATTCTATTTGAAGTTCTTACTTTAATTCGGTTAATAATCTTCTTTAATTGGTATTATTTTATAATAAATCTCTCCTGTTTTATGAAAATGTCCGGAATATTTATAATGTAACCGATTTACGATTAAATGAACCCAGATGATTTCTTAATGTTTCCTGATTTACTCATCAGAATATATATATATATATAAGAAAGAAAATATGAAAGGATTCAGATTTTAACGTCTCACTAGATGGTTTGTTAAGGTTTTTTTCATACTCTCGCTGAGCTCCCTGTTTACCAGTTTGCTCCAGATCCACTCCTGCTAACATAACATCTTTGTCTTTTTAACTTCGTTATCAAACATGGCTTTCCTCGCATTTACGCCACATAAAATTCAATAGTAATATCACAAAATTTTGACAAGGCGCATATTTTTATAATTCCTGATAGTGTTAAAATCTTCAAAGAATCATCTATATGGTCCGCATAATCTGTGACATTTTTTTTTCCTTTTTCTTTTAGTCGTTTCTCAATTCATCACATCATTGTTCAGTTTTATAAACAAGATGGCATGGAGAACTTTTTTTTTTGTTTTTATTATTAGTTTGAAAAGATTTATAATAAAGAGTAAACTAATAATAAAAAGACTAGTAATAAAATTTAACAATAAAATTAAAAATTTCATTGTTAAATATCCCTTTCTTCACATTTACACCACATTAAATTCAACAGATATATCATAAAAATTTTTAAAGCAGCATATGTTTAGAGTTCCCGATACGGTGCTTTAAGTGTCGCAATATCATTTTTCTTATCAGTCTTCTCTCAGTTCGTCATATCAATATTCTATTTTCTTAGTAAGATAATTTACACACATTTTTGTCTTTTAACTTTCGGTCTCTTAATTTTTTTTTACTAAATGTCACTTTCTTCGCACTTACGCCTCAAAAAATTCAACAACCAGACGGGAAAGTGGTTAGCAATGCTGACTGCCGTACTGAAGACTCGGCTTCGAATCACGGAGAAGACATGGATGTTTACAAATGTACGATGTCTGTGCAGTATGGGGTCACTCAAAATATGCTTCGAGTCGAAAGTCGTCTCGACACGCTTGTGGTAGGAGAAGAAAAGTGGAAGATCCTCGGACCCACCTCTCGGGGTTCTCTCCTTCAAAACTGAAGAGGAACTGAGCTCAAGGCTCTGGCCAATGACAGACGCAATCTTGTAGTCCTTGCCACGGTGTTAATTTGTGGGTTCGCCGTGATTACATCAGAAAAAGAGACTAATAACAAGAATAGTAACATAATTTTTTTATATTTCCGCATTATTTCTTTTAAAATATTACGTGGTGATAGTATCTGATGGCAACATTCTTTACTGCTGTGTCGTAATTTTTTGTTATATTTGCTGCATTATTTTTTCAAAACAATACAAGGCAATTCCAGTTCGCGGTAAATTTTTATTATTTAAAAAATGATACGGTTACAAAAGTAACTAGGATAAATGTGAGGATCAAGACTAACAAGCACCTTTGGTGCTAGAAAATTATTATTTGATAAAAATTATTGATTTTTAATCTACCAAAATATCGAATAAATATTAATTTATTATTTTTGGTATTTAATATCGAATAAATATTATATTAATATTATAAATAAAAAGACAGCGAAACTTTTATGTGACGACAACATGTGGTTTCAACAATTTTGGTCTTCTATGGAAGTGTTCCAGGTTGACATGTGAAATTCAATACCGACATTTATTTATGTCCTCAGAAATATTGGTCATATTGGGATTTTTTTGTAATACCTAAAGCCAGCTGGAGAAAATATGTCTTCGTTAGATGCGTTATCATTACGTTCGCAAGAATTCGTGGAAACTTTTAAGATGACCACCAATGCTTTTGACCTTTGTGGAGATGGTCGATTTAAGGAAGTCATGTTGATTGTCTACGTTTATTTGTGCTCTATAAAATTCGTAGGCGTTCGATATAATGCCAAAAGTGAGAAGATAAAAGATGAAAATTCTTACATTTTTACCCGTTTTCTAGGCAATCTGTAAAATAGTAGCGGTCGGCTATAGAATAGCCACACTCTATAGCAGTGGTCGCGAAACTGTTTGGAATCGCGTGCCCAAAATGGAATGACCGCGTGACTTTCCGTTTAAGATTTTAAATTAGACTTATTCATAAATTACCTCAAAAGCATTTTGAGGTAATTTATGAATAATGATAAAACAGTTCGTCATATCAATAATGATAAATGTTTTCGAAAACTGGAATCTATTTAACAGTGAAAGAACTAAAACTCACCATCAGTCTGCAATAAATTTGAATTCGTATAGCAAACATTAGCTGTTTCAACTTTGGCGTATTCTTTGCCATGTAACAAGTAATATGACTGTTCCAAACAATTGAAACGTCATAAATTGGGTCGATAAATACGTATATCATTTCTATGGCGATATATGAAAATCTGATATTTAGGCTTAGGTTCTATGGTAGTGGTATTATGCGATAAGTATGTTAGTGAAACGTTCAGAAACAGACTAAACACCTATTTAAATTACATAGTAACATAGTATCATTTTATTGTGATTATTGATTAAGGAAGTAATATTTTACTCGCGTGGCAGCTGATAAGGCTCTGCGTGCCGACTGTGCCACGCGTGCCATAGGTTCGCCATTACTGCTCTCTAGAATACCAGTGGGTAAACCACTCACAAATCATCAAAATTTAAAACCCATACTTCACTTTATATCCCAAAGACTTATTAAGAGTTGAAGATGTTCTCGATCTTGAAATAGAGCTCCAAATCAGTCTACGTAAAGCGGTCAAAGGCGCAATTAGAGCACCACGAAGAGCATTTCTTTTTAATTTGAAGAG